ATCCCCCTGTCGGTGAACACACCTACGCGACAGATCATTGGCTCTCCCACCCAAAGAATACACCGACCGCAACAGTACTGAGAAAACTTGAAAACCCCAGGCAATCATTTACATAATGAGAAAATAACCGTTCTGAAGAATTCCAGTATCCATTTCTTTTCGAATATATGACTTTAAATTTGATAAGTTCATTCACTTAACCGTCCAATAGTTGTGAAAATGCCAGTAGGAATGCATACCGTTGAACCAATATTATTAAATACGGAAAAGTTTAATACAATAATAGGTCAATTCTGAGAAACAATCTTCACAACTGACATAGATAAAACAACACATGAGACAATCATAATATCCTGAATGCATACCAAATGCTAATCTATCTCTATCGCCAAAACTCACAGTTGACTTGCTATACAAAAAAAGTGCAACAAATCTAATGCCAAATAAACCTATATAAATATAGAAACAAACGCGTTACTCAAAAAACTAAGTTTTCAATTTACGCGCCATTGGGGAGATGATTGTGATTGGCGGTGATGGATCTAATTGCCGAGTAATTGTTAATGATATCGAAAAAAAAGGGGGTTGGGGTTGGGGTTGGGGTTATGTCCAAAAGCCCTTGTGGTAAAGGCATTCCAGAGCTGCGAATTGTAGATAGAGAGCGTATTAACCGGAGTTGGGTGTGTGTGTGTGTGTGTGTGTGGAGGGATTGAGAGTGTGTACCTGCATAGATCATATGGATATATTGATTGTGCAATATACCGTTTTTGGAGGTGCTTATTTTCGGAACTATACTGTAACAGGCGTTGTATGTTGCTATTACTGTGGTAGCAATGGGTTGGCCAATGGGAGTGTTAGTATGCAATTGCTACCATAATTGTCACAACCAATCATTATTAATAACTCTTAACCACGTCGACTAGAGCGACTAGAGCGACTAGTATCCAATACAAAAATCCTGTACTCGAACTAACGGAGTAACGAGGTTTACTATCAAATTTCGTAATAACAATCAAATTTAAATATTAAAAAAGTGGTGGAAGACGCCTGCTTTGGTATAACAAAAATTCGGTATAACGCATTTCGGTATAACGGGGCTCGACTGTAGTATCCAAAAATCCCTGTACTAGTATAACTTGTATCGGTAGATCGCTTCCGATAAAGGAATCGTGCTGCAAGCCGTTGTGTTGGTAAACAAACACAAAGCTGAAATATAAAAAATTTTGTGTCAGTAATCGGATCAACCAGATTTGCATCTTTTAGGAGACAAGAAAAGATGTCATGTAAAACTATTCAAGCAGCAGAGATAGCAACAGGCCATATGTAGGTGCTTCTTTTCCTACATCGATCGATAATCTAGCCTATTCATTTGACCTGATTGCTCATTTATACAGAGAAGAACTCAAAAAGCCTATATCCTCGCGCGGAATCAGTCCAAAACTAGTGGGATTCCTGGCAAACGACGACCCAGCTGCTGCAAAATATGCCGAATGGACTGCAAAGTCTTGCCAAGAGACTGGCGTTACATTTGAGTTGAGAGAATGCAAGCGGGAAGACCTTGAAAATAAAATCATTACAGCAAATGAAGATCCAAGCGTTCATGGAATAATGGTGTATTATCCCGTGTTTGGAAATAGACAAGATCAGTATATTCAGAATGTTGTCGACGTGGCCAAGGATGTAGAAGGATTATCTCATAGATATGTTTATAATATGTATCATAATATACGGTTCTTGGATAAAGAGCAAACGAAGAAATGCATTATTCCGTGTACGCCTCTGGCTATAATCAAAGTTATGGAGCATGTTGGAGTATACAATCCCGTATTACCCCATGGAAATAGATTGTACGGGCGCGTGATCTCTATAATTAATCGAAGCGAGATTGTGGGTAGACCATTAGCCGCACTCTTAGCAAACGATGGCGCTAAAGTATATTCTATTGACATTAACGGAGTAGAGGAATTCACGCGTGGATCTGGATTAAAGTTGAAGAAACATGAGGTAAAAGGGCCCCTAGTCTATAAATTCGACACCATGTTTTTTTTGTAATTCTATCGATCGTACAATCGCTTTTTTTTCGTATTTCACCAGGTTCACGAGACAAATCTCACTACCGAAGACGTTATTCCAATGTCAGATGTGGTAATAACAGGCGTTCCATCAAAGTCATATAAGCTATCGAACAAGTTACTGCGAGATGGTGTGATAACCATTAACTTTTCGTCATTTCAAAACTTTGAAGACTCTGTAAGCGAGAAGGCTAGCATATTCGTCCCCTCTGTTGGCAAAGTGACGATTGCCATGCTGCAAAGAAATCTTTTGAGATTGTACGATTATCAAACAACAAATCCAGAAACTAATTAATAAGTACGCCAATTAAAAAAACTTTACCATGATTGTGAAAGAATTTTATTCATTCTTTTACTAAAAAGGGGAGGTGGGTGGGGGCTTGTATCGATTCATCTTTTGATGATCATTGTCTATTTGTTTGTTAAGAGTTATTTTGAGGCGAAAGATATCCTCCATTGTTCTTCAGTTTAAAGGTCCAACTTAGTTGGATTTCTCTGTCAGCACGAGACAATTTTCAAATAGTTCATTGAGTATCTTGGGGTCTTCTGTCCCTTCATGTCCTCCGTCCATAGGAAGCTTGGCTGATCGTTGTTGTCGATCAAAGTCGTATATTGAACACTGCCATTCCAGATGCTTGATTGAAGATGTCCTAGTAATTTCGCGTATATCCTCGTCCCGCAATGGTTGGAACAAGGGACTCTTAAATGTGATAATTATGGTATCGATTTTCTTGGTTTTTTTAATTGCCTCCAGTATCTCCTAATTGATAACGAAAGTTTAGAAAAGTTTTTTTTTAAAAGCATTGGTCATTAAAGTCAATTATAACCGTATCCATTTTACCTTATTATCCACACCATCTATTCGTTCTAACTTTAATATACGAACATCAAGCCGTTCACAGATAGCATCCAGTTTTTTAGAGTCAAGGATAAAATACAAGAGGCTCAACGAATCCAAATTTAACGTTTCACAATGTTTGATAATCTTGTCAACATCAGGTTCCATCATGGCTGCCATTATTTCAGCAGAATTGCATTCTATTCTCACATCCAATAATTTCACTACATCTATAAATACATATTTGGTGGCTTTGGCAAAGTGTTGGGCGAATTTGATCACATTATCTACAGATATTTCAATAAAACCCCTGTAGAATGAAAACATTTCCAACTCACGACAAATAGATATCACATTTTGAAAGAATGCTTCGGTGATGCAGAAACATTCACTAATTCTTAGTTCTCTGAGATTTGGGATATTCTTTAATATTTCGCTCATTTCTTGGTCATCATATCCTTTGCTGAATAGTCTTAGTATAGTCAACTTTGGACATTCTTTTGTTATGCTAGTCAACACTTCTGACGTACATAGGATATCTGCCCCAAGTTCCAATTCCTCCAAGTGTTTACAATACGTCGGAAGCGGTTCAAGTTCATCTTCTACAAGCATGTTGCTCATTCCGATACATCTTACGTTGGGCATGAGCGGTGCTATTTTGTTCATTTCACCCGTAGTCCATGCGTAATTCTCAAGCAAAAGTTTCTCCACGTATGGTGAGTTGGTGAGCAATGATTCTAATATATCGTTTGCCACGTCGGGTAACTGCTGCAAGTCTATGATGCGAACATATTTGTAGTATGGGTATCGCGTTTCATTGATCCGTGACTTGACAAGAATGTTCATAAATTTCTCAATGGTCTGCGTAAGGAGATCATCGGGCGAGGCTGTGAATTGATACCATAACCTCCTTACGGCTAAACTGCCCCACATTCTATTGACAAACAAGCATACATGCAAATCTTTGTATAATGTGATCGAGTCGAGAAGACTGCCAACTATTATGGGATTTCGGAAGCAGAGTTCATAGAGACTTTGCAATCTTTCTACAATATTCATAAATAGTATTTTGTTTATTGGAAAGTTGTGTGGCTTAGAACGGCAAAGTGATTGTCAGAAAATATGGTTATTGAATTATGCAGATGATCGCGATAGTTGTAATATCACGTGACACAAACATACCTTGCTCAACCATTCACCCAACCTCAGTCAGCAAAAAATACAGGAAATTATGTCGGAAACTAATGCCACCTCTGCTGATGATGAATTCTCCACCTTTGAGACAGCCGGCGACGCCGAAGACGATTTTGGTGAATTTGACGACTTTACAGACTTTGCTAGTGGAAATGTAGTTGACGATAAACCAGAGATAACGGAAGAGATTGACAGCGAGAGCGCAAGAAAGGGTGATGAAACAGGAAACAGTCTTGAAGAAAGTGGATTCAGTGATGTATTTAGTTTTGCGGATAAAGACAATGCGAATAATGATCTATCGGTTGGAGAAACTGTGGTAGATTTGGATGAGGCAATAGCGAGTATTGCTAAAGTCGAAACGCAACAGATACTGGCAGTTAATCCTCAAAGGTATGCATGTGTGCATGTGCGTGAGCATGAATGGAACATGTGTTTGGTGTTTTGCATTATAGTTATTTACGTGATCCCCGCAAATGAATTATATTGATTTCAACTTTTACTAATCTATTGCAGCCTGAATATATGGGATAAATTATCACCCGATATCAACGAGACACTGTTTCAATGGAAACATTCTGTCATAAGAAGGTCATTCTATTCATCTTTGGGAGTTGAAATTAACACATTAATTCAAGTTAGTATGTGAATTTATCCATATCAATTAAATTCTTGACTCTAATATATATCTGGTTGACTTTTTTAGGCGAAACCAAAATATGTGACGAGACCACAATCGCTGCCCTCGGTGTCCCAATCATCATCGCAACTGCAATCATCTCGACCACATTCTCTAACAACTAATTCACACTCAACACCAAATCCCATAAATAACCATCACTCGAAAGAATCTGCTGCAGCTGTGGTGACCGCCAAGGAAGTCGATGTTGATCTTATAAGGACATTATGTGCAGTAAATGAGGGTATGTTGACGGACAATCTGCTATATAGTATCGTCACAGTCGATGGTATAATTTGTAGTTGAGATTGTCCAAGTAGTCGATAACTCTAATCGATCTATTAACCAACGCAACTTTATTATCAATAGAAACACTACAGACGTACTCGACTACTCAATTACACGCACTTGTAAATCAACTCTTGTCACTAACTAAACAAACATCAGATGTTCTCACCTACTGGCTAGACCAAAGAGAGCAAACGGTCATGGATTCGGAGACATATAATCAAATGATAGAATGTCTTGTTGGTCACGCTCAAATGATCAGAGATGGTAACCAGAAAGAAGTAGCTAAAACAAGCATATTTGAGAACAAATTGAGGAAGGTGCGGAGAGGAAAATGAGATATAATATATATAAACCCCGGTGTATGTGAATTAATTTAGATTCAAAGTCATGCGATATTTGAAACATTTGTAATTATTGAATGAATATCTTTGCATGACTAGCAAATGGTGTCATTTGTATTTGATAGACCTTAAATTAAGGTTGGTTCTGATATTGCCCCAGGAGTGCAATTAATCACATAACAGCCAACCAACTTCTTATAATAGTAATTAATAGAGATCTGACCAAGATTTGCAACTTTTTTTTTGCATACTTTAATTTAAGTATTCCTTATTAATATGAACAAATAAAATTTTAATTACTACTTTCGAGACCTCAAATTCCAAATTTTCTTATACTTCTGATGACTCTTGTTTGACGGCCCTCCGCGTTCTAACTGCTTGTGCTAATTGCTCCAACATAGGCTCGCTGTCCTCCCATCCAACACAGGCATCGGTAATAGACTGCCCATATTTCAATCCACAAGCACCTTCGGGAGGTACGTCTTGCCTGCCAGCCACTAGGTTTGATTCGATCATCACTCCCATGATTGCATCCTCTCCCGCCGCAATTTGAGCAGCCTGGAAATTGCAAGAATCATAGGCAACTGCATTAGAGAAACTGGCGCATGATGAAAGCCTGTCAATAATAACGTCACGAAAATCAAAGGCACTTACCAAGTCAGCACTTACGATCGGCTGGTTAGTATGCTTCTTTCCGCTGTTGCCATGACTGCAATCTACCATAATGCGCTGAGGAAGGCCCGCTTTCTGTAATGCTTCTTTTGTTGCATCGATGTATTTTTTTGAATAATTAGGACCATCGTTTCCACCCCTAACGTAAACACAACGACAACAGTTTAGATTGTTTACACGCAATGGTAGTATACACAAGCGAGACCTCGTTTTTTTAAATACCTCAGAATAACGTGACAAGAACCATTTCCCTATGAAACCATTAGTAAGTACCGATCAACAGAATAATACTAAAAACAACCTCTATATGCGGCTTACCTTGGTGTGAGTTATAGCAGCCAAACCTTGTTTCGTGACGCCAAGAAAATGGTGTGGATGAGACGCCGATCGAATAGCATCTAATGCTACTTTGACGTTACCATCTGTACCATTTTTGAAACCAACCCTATCGAATAGAAAAATTTATTATAGCAATTTCTGTTATGGTTATAAATACATCATGGGGGGGGGGGGGGGCAAAAAACCTACGGGAAAGAGACACCAGATGCGAGCTCGCGATGCGGTTGACTTTCCGTTGTCCTCGCGCCGACTGCTCCCCAAGAGACAATGTCAGCAAGGAACTAGGAGATACAATCAAGTCGCATAAAGAAATGATGTCAGCACTATGCCAATAACGACAAACTGAACAATATATAGATAAGACTATTAAAACACGAGATTTTATCCCATACCTGAGGTGAGATGGTGTCCAGTAATTCGCAACCTACAGCTGTGCCAGCACCCGTCAAATTACATAATAACTCTCGTGCAATACGCAGTCCCTTGTTTACTTGGAAGGACTCATTAATATCTGGATCGTTGATTAGACCTTTCCATCCGACAGTCGTTCTTGGTTTTTCGAGGTATGCACGCATTATGATCAAGAGATCATCCTCGTATTTATCTGCAACTTTTTTAAGTCTTGCGCCTGTTTTTCAAAAAAAGTTTGGGAATGTCAGTAATTTCGAACGTTGGCATATTACAAGTCCTACATTTTTGCAATAATTAGGTATTAGAATTACCATATTCTAAAGCAGCTTTGACATCGTGAATAGAACATGGACCGATAATAACTAAAAGTCTGTCGTCTATGCCATTAATGATGTCTGTCGCTTTTCTTCGAGCAGCCAATACAACTTGCTGTGCCTCTCTGGTCTATAGAAGACGATTAACCAGAAATCGGTAATGGGCGACTTTAAACTTGACAAAATGCTCGTTTCTATACATACAAATAGTATCTCGCTTTGAAGTAGCTCTGGAGAGATCAATGGATCATAACCGATGACCCGAATATCTTCCATAGATTCTTCATCTTTTGCATTTTTGTTTGATGAGTCCGACATCTTGTCTAAATCTCGGGCTCGTCCATACTAAAAACTTTTAATATAAATCACGTCGAGTTTGTAGAACCAATGAAATGAAAGATTCTATTGCATGTCAATAGATATCTTTTTGACTCATAACCAGTAACCGTTGTGCTACGAAAAATAAGCTGCAGATCGACGATCACGCAACTGGAAATAGGTTAAATGAAGACAGTATGAATGAGGCGCTGCGGATTTTTTGGCCTCAAAGGTAAATAATATGGGGCAGGCTGCAACAAAACCAGACAAAGTGAACATTCTATTATGTGACATAAATGAGAGACTTAGGTGGCTGAAAGTTAACTAATTTGACTAATATAATAACATTTTGATTACCACAGCGATAGCTTGTACACAAATTTTATTATTACAGTCAACTGTCGATAATTCGACCTTTTATACGTTAATTCGACCACTGGTTACAGAACATTTTATTATTATTTCTATTGTAATTAACTGGCAATAATTCGATCGATAACCTCTGAACGCAAGCGGTCAATTATAGGCAGTTGACTGTACTATCTGAACAGGGCGAAAAAATTGCTCTCTAGGTTAATGTTTTTAAAATGAATGATACCCAAACACTCCAAGAATACCTGGATAAAGAAAAATAAATTTACCAATCTTTAAATTACTTCCTTAATTTTAATCAAGGTCATCTCTTATTTTCTTTAACTTCAATTTGAGCAACTTGTTGGGTTTGCTGTTTCCTTAGGAATTCGGCCTCACTTTCAAGTTTTTGAATTTTATCTAATATTCTTGCTTTTGGTTATTATGCCAACCCTTTGAAATTTCTAAGGCTTTCAAGTGAGAACTTATTTCTTCCTTAGTTGTTGTTTTAAATCTCTATTTTGCTATTCCAACCTACCAACATAACTCTGTGCCATTATTTCTGTTATGGTTGGGTTTTTAACTGGTTCATCTTTTCTTAAATCACAGAAGCAGTCTACAGTCGACTCTCCCTAAATGCACCCTCTTCCTAAATGCACGCTATTCTGTGGTCCCGGCCTCGGGACTTAGTACAGTGAACCCTCTCTAATATCCACCCCACGGGACCGGCCAATTTTGTTGATATATGCGGGGTTGGATATCATAGG